GTTCTTCCCGGCTTAGCTTGTTTGTTCTGTGCATTGTTTTGCCTTTTTTTTTTTTTTTTATTATTATTATTTAATTTAAATACAGTAATTAAGATTAGTCCTGGAGCCTAATTACAGGCCTTGGCCTTATTGGTTCCCGGCACTTGTTCGTAGGCCTACTAGTAGTTAAGTGAACAAGTGAATAATGGGACTAATATGCAATATGGAAAATAGTGGTAAAATTATTACTTTAGTTGACTTCACAAAAAATGGAGAATGGTTTGCAAAATCAGCATTTTTTGTACACTTTCAGAGGGGAGGGAGGGGGTACCAAAAAAAGAGTACTGTTTGTTGGCACTTGTGAAAATGTTGGTAATTTTAACATGAACAAAGACAAACACATACCCACCTAGGACAGAAACATAGAAGCATGAAATCAAACAATTGGGAAAAAATGCATAAAAAGAGATTTAGAAAGCAATGTAGTTAATGAATTGGTAATACATGCATATTAAAATAGACATTTGAGAATCCTTTTGAACTGCGGACCACACAACATCACACAAGACCGCACGAATGCAAAACTTATTAAAATATTATTACCACACGAGAGTGGAAAACAGCTTGATTAAATAAAAACCACTTTTTATAGTGATTTTTCATGAATGAAACGCTAAATGCATTTCTGCTGACATGTCAATGCGTTATAGATCCACAATGCTAACGCATTACTTACCGAGGCACGATGGGCAAAACCAACAAAACAAAAACAACCCTTGATTTTTAACGGAATTTTGACGATTATCATTCTAAAAGTTGGTTTCTATGGATTATCAAGCAGTTTTCTACTCTAGAGACTCGTGTGGTAATATTTTTATCATTTTTGCATCAGTTTGGTCCCGTGTGGTGTCGTGTGGTCCGTGTGCTGATATTTAGTAGAACCCAACTACAAGCGAGCGTTTTGTACTCCATTGTGGATGCATCACCGGCGTTCCCATACACATATGCCAAATCAGTACACCCACTGCCTTGGCGGCCGCTTCGGACCTGAGTTGGGCCTATCTAGGCCTACTATGCCTTGGCTGTCCTGGCTAGGCCCCTGCCCTACTTTCTTAAAACTCTCATTTCTCTCTAGCTATCTGCAAATTGATCTGCAGAAATATTACCTTTGCATAATTCTTGCTTATCAGGAACAAATAGTTTTCTACTGTCTACTTTCAGCTCTTTTTCACTTGTTTGTGCCATTTTACGGTAACAGTTTTACCGTACACCTTTAAATTAAGCGCAATCGCTGGAGTGGAGAGAGAGGAGGTTCCCCGCATGTGATCTCATGATCCTCCGCCTCCCATGATTGCCAGATTTATGTTCTTTTTTGTTTTGAAATAGCGCCCTCATGAGTACAGAAGAGCTTTGACGTCTTGGATGCTGCAGCTGCATAAGTTCCAAAACTTATTTTTGTATCGTGGATTGTCTTCACGGACCCCCAATTCCACCAAGATTACTCATTGCCGATAATTCACCAATACAGTAGTAGGGTGATAAGTATATAGATACTGAAGGTGCTTCACCACTAAAGTAGAATATTAACTATTTCATTAATACTGAGAAATAAGATGTTTGTCACACTGTTTTGCAAGACGAGAAAACTATGATGCTGAGATTGGTCAAACGTAGCGGACCCTCTAACTTGGCTTAATTAGCCTGTAATCTTATATCATATTTTTAAATTTTTCACTTTTTTGGGTAAACTTTTGCCAAACATGTCTAAAAATATCAATAAAAATTCACTGATTAAGCAAAAATGGGTGCCATTTTTAAAAAATTCAATTTTAGGGACTCTAAATGGCCGCTGCCGAAAATTAGTTTTTAACAGAACAATTGCAAATAGATCATTGTTATTCATTTATATATCATACAATATAGTCATTCTATTTTATCTATACAGTGATATAAAGAGATCAGTGATGCATTGGGAAGAAAAAGCAAAAATATAACTTTCAAGTACTCACTCACCACATAGGCCTATCACCCATCAGAATCTCCCTAACATAGTCATTGAGCATCGGCATTTAAACTTCTCCCCCTCCCCCACCATCACCCCATCCCGGGCCATGTCCCTCCCAAAATTTTTTTGAAAATTAAAAGATGGAGAAAAAGAAGAAAAGTATAATCAAATTTATGCCAAAGACTGTGAGTACCATTTCCGGTCATCTGTTGCCATCCGACATTTTGTTCGTCTCCAAATGTTAGGGCAGGGGAAGATTTAGGGAGGGGAACTTTCTCCCTGTAATAGTGAAAATACAAAATGTCATACAATACTAAGTTTTACAATATTTCTTAACAGCATATACCAGGGACGTCGATAATTTTCTGAAATTAGGAAAAACAGTAATCTATGTAGGCCTATAATATTAAACACTAATATACGCTGTCTCTTATACACATC